CTTCAAATTGTATCATGAAACTACATTCATTTATCCCAAGTAGCTCTAAGTTTGTAACAGTATACATCTATTTATAATTAAATTTTATTGTTTTATTGCTCTTTTTGCTGCCCTTTGAACTGTGTCTAATTACTATCCGTGCCATTATAAGTTGTAAATCACTCAGGGAATGTGCAGCTCACATTACTATATCAAATTACATTACCCACAAGCTGCTCACGTGCATGATTCTTGAGCCACTTTAAATATATTATTATTATTACTTATTTTACCTAATCTAGTCTTAAATAACTTAACAAGATCCTTATTTTTAGTTACTTTTATAATAATAAATGAAGAATAAATATGCAAACAAGAAATAAAGTACTTACCCAATTTTTTTTTCTTGCTCTCGAGTTTAGAAGAGAGTTAACACTAACTTTTTATGCTATAGATAGTAATGCATTTAATAATTCTTATTTGATTAAATAATACACTAAAGAATATAGACTAATAATGTGCAAAAAGTAGACAAATTCATTTACCTCCCAAAACTTTCCTGGCTCTCTAACTTTGCGACAAGAGCCATTACAAATTCCCATGAAAATGAATCTTGTACTGTGAGTGAAATTGATGATATTCTGTTCAGAATACAATGTTATACAAAACGTCATTTGATATATTAAAACCTTGACTTTCTGTTGGTTATAGGTAAAATATAATGAAACATAAGATAGAACTATCAACGAATTGTGAAAGAGATGATGCGACAGGTGGGTGTGGCAGGAGGGGTCTGATTTTGCTAATCCATAGTTCTGTAGCCAAACAAAATTTGAGGCTATAAAAATTATGGTTTTTTTTAGCAATAACAATTTATAGAGAGTATTTTACTTTTAATTTGTTATATTTTCTATGGGTGATGGATAAAATAGATATGATAACATGCTAAGACAAAATGTGTCACGTGGGTCATGCTAGTGGAAATTGAGGCTTTTTTTATATTCCCTTGTAGAATTAAGAACTTAAAACTTGTATACTAGTAAAATTTGGATTATTAACTAAGATTTTATACTATTCTAATTGGTATAACATAAACAAAAATTAGTTTAATACAATTTTGAATGTTAGACACTAAAACCTTGTGTCATGCACAGTAATGGGTACCTGGGGCAAGAGGGTTAATACCTTTTTTATTTGACATTTCTGATAAGTTTCTTACCTTTCTCTCTTCTGGATAGTGATAGTGATCTGCTTCCTTCTGTTTAAGGGTTATTTGAATGAAAAATATCTTTTTCTTGCTACTCTAGAAAGCATTATATTTTTGATGTAGGAATTTTCCCTACTGAGATAACTTTGGTAATTATGGGAAATGTGAGCAGAATCTAATGTTTAAAACTATTGATCACTTGTGTATACCTCTTCCTTTTTTTACTTTATGTTTCTTTGAAGAGCTATGTTTAAAGTGTAATAAGATCATTCTACCAAGACATATTTAACTTTAATGTGTTATAATAAAATCATTTAAGAGACCTGTTTTACTCTCAGTAGTGGACCATTCTTTAAGTGTGTCACAGTAGATAGAATCCATAAACATCCTTGAAGTGTTAAAAAGTACTTAAATATTTTGACTAAAATATTCAAGGTCTTGAAAATTATAGATTTTCTTTCAAAGCTCTGGAAAAGTGTGTGAAATATCTTTGGAGAACTAAAAAATAATGCCTTTTAAGATTAATCAGGCTATTGAAGTTATGCTCACTTTTCAATGATACATTACAAAATACACAGAAGATTTCCTCTTAAAGATCTTTCTTGGTGTGCTTTAGTAACTGTGTGTGTTACTTGTTCTTGCATAAAGGTTTCTCTTAACAACTTAATATAATGTTGGATAAATACAAATTTAACATTTATTGGCAGGAAAATGATTTGTATTCTGATTGAGTATTATCAAATCTAATTATTTTTGGCTATATTTAATTTAGATGCTTGTATTGTTATTTTGCCAGAAGGTGTTCTCAGGTGTGGCTTAATAACTAGAATCTTCTTGAAAGCATAGAATATTATTTGAGCCATATTAACCCTACCAAAACAATATATGTACATTGCTAATAGATTACATAACTCTTGTGAAATTTCTTTTTAAAAATGAAACTAGTGGATGAAATCGTTTGAAATTTGACAAGATCTTTTTTAAAAGTATGTAGTTTCAGAAGAATAAGATATTTAATTTTGATTTTTTCTACTAATTCTAATAAAAATTTGTTATTTAATGTAGTTATTTGCACTCAGACTCCTAATAGTTCACCTGTAAAATGATTTTCATTTTAAGAATAAAAATACTATTATCTTACAATTTTTACATTTCATTTGCATAATCTCTAAAATCTCCTAAATGAATATCAAATGTTTTTAAGGTAAATTTTTATACTTTGTTTTCCATTTTCTCTACTATATCACTAACCTTAGCTATTATTATTATCATTAACATACAGTGCAATGAAATGCTTAAAATTAAGAAATGGAAATATGTACTTACCTTCGTACAATAGTCCTAAAATATCTTCTTTGTGTCATATGCATAATTTCACATCTTTAACTTTTTACTAATAGCTTAATTTTGATATTTTATTTTCCTTTCTCGTTCTTTACCATTTATTATTTATGTTGAAGCACATCAATGGTTACCTGCAGGTGATAGAAGAGTATGAATGGCAGAGATACTTTAGCCTCCAGTAAAATCTTTTTTACTCGCTTGGTAATGTAAGAACTTGCTGCAAAAGACGAAGCTTTTGTTATTTTATAAATATTATTAAGCCTTTCAAATAATGCATAATTAAATAAAATATAAGAGTAAACCCTAAACACAATTTAACTGTCTATTCAACCTTAACATATTCAGTAAAAACAACCAAAGTGCTATCATGGATCAAGCAGCCAACAATACTACAATCAGTTACAACTACTTGATAATGACGACTTCAATGCCAATTTAAAAATAACCATTGTTGGACTAAAGTATAAAATGAGCTCTTTCTATTGACTATAAACATGTGTCCAGTAAGTACATGTTGGCTTCTAAAGCTCAAAGATATGTGTGAAAGGTGGACATGGCACCTTTCAGAGGCTGACAAAAGTTATTACTTGTTTCTACTGCATTCAGCCAAAGAACTTAGAAACATACTTGTCTATAGGGCAAGTAAACATACTTGTTTAAATATACATTTACATAGCTGGTGTTATCTGATTCAAGATAGAGACAGTAAAAGTTGAGATTTTACATAGCTTGTGGTTGATATGACAACAAAAGTGAAGTTTAAGTATTTCTTTAAATGTTTCTTTTGAAACAAAGAAATTAAAACTTGTGTATCATAAAACTTTGAATTATAACATACATTATAATGTCAATTTCATTTACATATATTGATAGTAAAGTTGTTTAATTAGATTTTGAATGTAATTCTGTGACTTGTACAGAAAAGGGTTTAAAAAGTGCCATCCTTAAAGGGTTAAAAAAGCAAGTTGTAGAACATATAATTAAGGAAATAAAATGATTTTATCAATGTTATGCATTCTTTTATCAAAATAATCCAAAGGAATCTGCCCAACAACAGAAACCATTACAACACTGATATTGGGAGGGAGATTATTTTGTTGCACTGAGCTTCGAGATGATTATACATACTCAAAGCAAGATTATGACAAAACAGTTGAAACAAGATAAAGAAAAAAGACAGAAAATTAAAAGAAAACCAAGAAAAAGTTACAAAAAATTAAAATAAGATCAAGAAGACAGAGATAAAATTAGATGCAAGAGATGGGAATTTAAGAAGTGAATTACAAGAATGAAACATAAAATTTATAAAAGAATTACTAAAAAATTTAATTTAATCAAAGACAATATTAAAGAAACCCATAGAAAATGTACAAAATGACATAAACAAATTAATAAGGAAGTACAGAAAGAGTATAATAACAAAATTGGAGATTTACGAAAGGGCATCAATAAAACTTAGAAAGATTATTAAAAAAAAATATATATATATATATATAATACAAAAGCACGTGAATCCAGGGATAAAATATCTATAATTGAAATGATAAATGTAAAAATGAAACCAGCCACGCTTCTCTTTACAT